ACCCCACATAACCCTACCATTAAGCACTAAAACAAATGTACCCAACATTATTATCAAAAGAATCAAACAAATCAATAAAAAAAACAAGATTAAAGATTCATTTTGTCGAAAAAACTACCCTCGTTTCTCCATACTAATACCTTTTTTTGCTTCCATCCTTCGTTGATTTTTTTGCCTCGTTTCCTACCCATTTTTTTCCTTTCGGTCTATCTAATATCACCAAGAATGAAAATTTTTCCTAACTAATTTAGGGTTTTTTCTCTTCTTTCTCTCTCCTCTTGATGAAAATTCAAACAATCTCTTTTCTCTCCTTGTTTTCTCCAAACATATTTGCTTAATTGTTGTTTTTTTTCTCATTAAAGTTAAACGCTTCATTTAACTTTTAATCTTTGATTTTTTTTTTTCATACTGAATTTAAAAAATAAAGCAGTGATAAGACAATTTAGGGAAGAATTTTTTTTCAGCATCTCAATCTAACAATAGCTGCATGGCAATAACGAAAGGTCGCATGGCATCTCTTGCCGGATACATTACCGAATTGTATCTCAACCAATATCATGTACCAAAAAAAAAATCGAATGTTAAGTACCCAATCATAAGAAATAAAAAGTTAGGCATCAAAATGGAACCAAAATCAAAGATTGGGCACTAAATTTATAGTTTTCTTATAATGATACTAATAAAAGAAAGAGAGAGATAATTTTTTAGCGACAAAACAAGCACAAACTACCATCAAACGAAAACTTACACACTAAAAATCTAATGACATTAAAAATTAACTATTTCATCTCCGGAATTAAGAGTTATGGGGATTTAAAACTTTGAATTTAAAAACTTTCAAATTGAATTTTGTATTTATTAGTTGTTTAAAAATGCTTTTGAAATTATATTTGAGTTTAGAAAGGAGAGTGTTTGGAAGTTTTTTTTTTGTGAAAAAATGAAAAGAAAATAACGACTTGCTTAATTATCGTCAATCTAGAATTTAATAAATTGCTCGAAATTTGGCTAGCTCATGAAAAAGAAGACTTGAACTACGCATCATCCACGAGGATGATGCGCCGTCCAAGCCTCAAGTCATGACTCGGCCTCTAAGTCTCGTTTTTCCCCTTTTTATTATTATTATTTTTAAAATTTAAAATTTTTTTATTTTTATTTTTATTATCTTAGACATACAATAAAATATGGCACTTTTTTAAAAAATATATTTTTTTTATGTGATTTTATATGTATAAAAGTCATTATATAACAATTTTTCTATTTTTAACTATTATAATTTTTCCAAGAAAAAATTATTACTAAAAATTATAGTTATTCATAATATAATGAAATAGAAAAATATTTTTGTCCAAGTATGCTAACTTTTAAATATAAAGACAATATACAAATTAATCTATATATTTTATCTTAAAACTAAAATATTTTTTATTAAGCGAGAGGATATATGTATGTGTGTTAAAAAATATATATGTAAAACATATTTAAACATATGTCAAGCATAACATGCTCAAGAAATACATTATAAACATAAATTAGAAATTTCTTATATTTTATTCCATCTCAGCTCTTACCACTAAACAGAGACATGAACAAAAATTTATATATTGTCTTACTACTAAACACTATCAAATTTTTATTATTAATAATATTTAACACTTATCCATCTCTTCAAAAAGTTGAAGGTTCGAGTTTCTCCTATCTTATATTGTTTTTGTTTTTGTTTTTGTTTTTTTTTTTTTTGATAAAAATGCATGATTTGTTATTCAACTATAAATACACATATTTTAATAAGTGATGTAATATTTTAAATTTTTGGTAGGTAATATTCTACTCTATTATAAATATTCATAAGATTTATTCATTTTGTTATGTAATTTGTTTCTTTGTAAAATAATCAACACGAATAGTTGATTTTATTTTTATTATATACTTATTTCAAATTCTTACATGATCTAAGAATATAATCATTACAGCTATAATAAAAACTACTATCATCTAACATAATAGTACATTTGTCAATATAATCACTACAACTACGACTATAATTACCATCAACACCAATGTTATTACCACTCTAACTACACAATCATTAATATTATTAGCATCATTATCAGTATTATCTTTTCTCTCGTCTCATTACAATCACTCTACAATTATAAATAAAAAATAAGTATTTTTATTTTTAGATAAAAATGTTTTTCTTAACATGTAAAAAAAAATTAAAAGTGACTAATTTTCAAGAAAAAATTTTATAAAAAAAAAAAAATGTTTTCTTTAAAACAAACACACCACTAGCTAGTGTTAAAAAACAATTTAATTTTGATGAACTTAAGTTAATATGGTCTATTTTTCAATTAATTTCAGAATATTAATTGTTTTTTTATTGTTATCTTATTTTTTATTTAAAAGAAGGGAGCAGCATTCTAGAATTTGCTGTTCAATAATTATGCTTTCACTTTTGTTTACAGGGCCGATGCGAAAGAAAGAAATGATAATCATAACGTGAGAACCTAGTTCCTAGGAGTCCCCGAAACGTGTTCCATCTCATATGCAGATTCCCTGCTATCTCGACTTCAACATCAGCGTGTTTTCTGCGTTGAAATTGTCTGGTGACGTACTTTTGCTTAGATCATTACTTTTTTATTTATTACTTAATTATTTCGTTAAAAACTAAATAAATACTCTCTCCGTCCAAAAAAAATAATGTCTCAAAATAATTATTTGATAAAAAATTTAAATATTAAAATTTTCTTTTAAATATACCTAATCAAAAAAAATTTACCATTTTTTTATCTTTTACTAACTAAAAAATCAATGAATATCTGAAAGGGTATTTTAGAAAATAAGAATAAAAAATATAATAAATTTCTTTCTTAAATTGTGTGAAAAGCGAAAAAAAAACTAATATTTTAACAGAAAGAGAGAGTACTTGAAATCAAATTTGGAACTAACACTTGTCTTGGGATGTTCAGTGAATGTACATGTATGAAGAACAAAAATTCAAATAAAGCATATTTCATTTCATTTCATTTTAAAATTATAAAAGGAAATTAAAAATGTAATTAGATGGTAACTTATTGACAAGTAAATATTGACTTATAAGTCAAATTCAGGATTCGATTTTTGTCATAAATATTTTTAAGAATTTATTTTTAAAATATATAAAATCATACGTTGAAGATTGCTTCTTACTCACATTAAAAAAAAATGAATCTTAAAATACATAAAAGTTAATCTATAAACATCCTTGCTGCTGGAAAAAAAAATCATTAATTCAGACTCCTTATCAAGATCATTAACTATATTATATCTTCCAATTATTGAGGATTAACTTTTTCAGTTTCAACAAGTATGACACCGACATTGGGGAAGAAAAACGGTGTATTTAGGGACAAATGGCCGTGCAGCACACGGTTTGATGTGATTGTAATTGGAAAAAGCAGACAGCACTAAATAGCTGTATGCCACTAGTCACCCCACATCACATGGTCCAGGCAAAAAATCATTCAATTTGAATAAAATAGCAAAAACTGTCCACAGACCAAATCCAATGATTCCAACTGTCCTCCAAGTATACATTCCATTCATGTACACTTAATTCAATATGTTTTCATTCCAAACTTGAATAAAAAAGTTTTTTGCTCATTGATTACTGTTGAAAATAGAACGAATTTAATCCCAAAAAAGGGGGAAAAAATAAGTTAGAGAGAATTTAAAGGCTTAACTTATCATTGTATACTAACATTTGTCTCAATTATCTCGAAATTATGCATGTGTTAATAATTTGAATAACACTCTGTGTTTCTAAAATTAGTTCAATTGGAGTCAATAATTAATTTTTATTCGCTTGTTCTATTAATTAAGTATGATATAGAGAAATAATTTTCACATAAAATAAAAATTAAATATGTACATCAAATAAATGATATCACGCGACCTACATATGATCAACAATAAAAATTATTTCACCTAACTCATACCAGTTATAATTAATTAGTAAAAGATGCGACCATTTTCATATGAAAATCTAAATCTTAATTTCTTCTTCAAAATAGTTGAAATCTGTCCAAATCTTGATAAAATCATCACATGGCTCGAATTTAGTCAACATTTTGAACAATCTTTTTGCTTTTATAGATTTCTAAGTCAGAGAATCCAATTTACGTTGGCATCATTCATTTTGTACGGATCCAATTTTCATTTTAGGTGGAAATTGTTTGTTCATATTATGCATAATTAGTGGAGCAATTGGATAACAATTAACTATTAGTCCCAATTGAACCCTTTTCTTTTTTAATAATTGAACCAATTTTGCAAATGTGATTGAATAAATTATTAACAAAAGATCAGTTATGAATCATCGAGACAAAGCCTATCATATGATAGGCTTACCCGAATTTAAAATACCAAACTGAATAATCAAGACCAAGTAATGGTGGTCTTGGGGGTCCAGTGTAGTCAGCCTCTCCTCTTTAGTCCTAAAATAATGAAAAGGGTCATTCAACCAGCCCAGAGAACAAAATTTTAATGGAGTCCCAACCCACGAGGATACCTTCAAAGTAAATCGAACTCAGGAGTTTGTGGTGTTCGAGATTCAAGAACTTGGACAGTTAATACAATTTGGAACCCAAATGTTTTGCTTTAAAGGTTTGTGTAACTTGATGGTGTTAGTGGGGAATTATTGCATTTCATAATCTAGAATGCCTCAAGGCAATGGCACCATTATTTTATAGCAGACGCAAGTATTTGCTGGCAACATTAGTTGAACAATTTGTCAGCTCCTCGGCTCAATCTGCTAGTGGAGTGATGATCCAATAAATCAATTTCTAAGCTATTATCAAGAGTGCTCTTTTAGGGAAGAGGAAAGCAAGAATGTTGATACACTTGATTTCTCCTGGTGAAATCTTAATCAGTAGAATGACACTCGGCTATTGTGAAATAAATAGTGTTGCTTCAAATTCACAGAACAAATGTAACTACAATATTTACAAATATTTCCACCTCTAAACAAAGCAGATTAAGAACAAGGGTGTAACCGATAACCCAACACTTGTTAAATGCAAGTCTCCATTGTCTGCATGGACCGCAGACACTTCTTTATCAGATAGTCTAAAGCAGGTCATCTTCCCCGCGATTTGAAAAGGGAGCAGTCTGAGTACAGGCAGGAAAAGCTCCATGCTACCCTCTGATGGCTTCTCATAAACAAGATTGGGTGACACAGACTGTATACGAACCCTTTCTTCAAGAAATAAAATTGAGCGGAAACCAGTACTTGTTGATGCAGAGATCAAGGTCTCAGAAGCCCAAACATCTCAAGTTGACGATTGGTCACTGAGATTAGTACTCTTTTGCATGCTGCAAGTGTCAGGGGACTTGGTTGCAACAGCGGGAGGCGGGTTCAGTTCCAGGAACGCTTTGTTTCCTTCACTATAACTACCTACACATATAGTATCACCCCGACCATGCCAGGTACCATCTTGGACATTGTTCATCTCCAATGTCCTGGATTCCTGCTCCATTATAGATGAAATGCTTATAATCAGGTTCAAGAAACGTCCAAGTGTTTGCTATGATCAACAACAATCAAAATTTATAAGTAGGTTGGCAGTAAACAAACCTGGGATAACGTGCAGCAGGAGCAGATCAGATGGTAGAAGCAATCATCCAAGGAACTATCACTACCCTGAAATGAACAGATTCCAAAAAAAAATAATAATAAATAAATAACACTAGACTCAGCGTGATTTAGCTGCAACTTATAATCTTAAAGATAAATGTTTCAGAAACAAAAGTAAAAGAGTCAGGAAGCCTCTAATAACTAATAAGTAATATCCCAATGAAAGAAAATAAGAGACAATATTTTCATAATCTAAATGTAGATCATGTTAAAATCAAACTAAAATCTATTTGACAGAAGCACGATTCCTCCTCTAATATGTTTAATGTAAAACACAAACAAGATAATCTGACCAAAACTAAAATTTAAACTGAAAACCCTCAGGTTTATAATACAGAAGTTCAAAGTAATACAAGGATATAGACAATATAAACAAAACTCTTAAGTAATGAAAGAACATGGTCAATGCGTTTGAACTGAGAAGTTTGGAGGTCACACATTAAAAGTAGTACGACTCTCAAACCAAAAACAGTTTGGAAAATGTACCAATAAGCATGTAATCTATGAAATGAACTTCTTAAAAAGAAGAAACAAATTTAGATGAAGAATTTTTGCAAGCAAGAGAAGTAAGTTTCCTTTTGATTCTGAGAAACATCAAGGCAAAAAAACTTGAAGCCATTCCTTATAGCTCCGCTTCACATGCAGTAGCACTAGAATGTCCAGAACAAAAAAAGTAATTGCATGATTCTCATAAATGCCAGTAAACTTTGAATGCTCATTTATGTACGTCTTCCAACGAATTCCCATTTCATTTGACAATTGAAGGCATAGTGTATTGAATGGTCCAAGTTTGATTCACAAAAAGGGATGGCTAATGCGAAAGTAGCTGTGCACATAATCTAAAAGATAAAACGAGAAAGCAAAAATCTAAGAACATAGCCATCTCATGGTGCAACAAATTAAAAAAATCTGAAAAAATTACAAAGGGAGACATCAATGCTCACCCTGATATTGAATTTCTTTCTCGTCTGTGTGCGGAAGAAACCCAAATACATTCCTATAGAGAAGGTAAATGCAACTGATAAATACAGAAAGCAGTGTCGCTTTGTCACAAAAAAGGCAACGAAGTTGAGAAGGGCACTGAAAGCAAGAACGTAATATACAATTCCCTGCAAAATCACATTAATGGATTCAGTATTCATTAAAATAAAACAGGCTAATTTGCATAAAGATCACATTTTGAATTTATAAAAGCCAGCATCTTACTTTAGTTTTCTAAATTCTTAAAATTCAAAGAATTGCAACAAAATGTTACCTGAAGAAAACAACACCCAAAACCAGCTCGTCTCATGTTCTTTCCAAATCTACAGCATGGACAGCTGCAATGTCAAATGCACAGTTAGTTTAAGTCAAAGCAAAATTCAGAACATATAATATCAATAAAACAAAGTTGAAGAATCCTTTTTTGCCTCACAAACTCTATGTTCAATGACACAAAGACGGCATAATTGACCAGACTAGACAAACCAAGATGGCATAATTGACCAGAATAGAAAAACAACATCGAACGCAATTTACCATAGCAAAAAAAAAAAAAAGAAAAAAATCCCTTTGGAGCATTGCCTCTGAACTCTTAATTCCCAGAAAATTAAAATCAATATCCACAAAAACAATTTCTTAAAATAAAACCATACAAGTAGACATTTAAAGCTACAACCATGAATATTTCACCTTATATTACACAAAATTACAATCAAGTAATAACATGTATAAACCAAAACCAAACTGAAATTAAAAATAATAATAATAATAATAATACAAATTTGAAGCTGCCACGATGAAATTTCCATATCCAATTAAACTCCCAAAACCCATTAACATTAAAAGCCTCCAACATAAACGTAAACTAAACTAAAATCATAATTCGTTAAATTTAACGCAAAGCAATAATTTTCCAGAAACACAACAAAACCAAAGGAAAAAAAAGTTCCATCTTTTCTTTCTGAGTTTAGCTTCTCCTTCTAAATTATAATGATGGCACCCTCAGAAAACAGAGAGAGAGAGAGAGAGAGAAATACCAAAGAGATTCAACGGCAATGCGGTGGTCATCAAAGCAATCAAGAACTTCACCTTCCCACATCCTGAAACCACCACCACCACCTCCATTATTACAATGATTCAAATGATCATCTTCTTCTTCTTCACTGCTTTCAAGTTTGGCCCAATATTTGCCTTGTGTTTGCATAGCCACAGTAGAGCACAACATATCAAAATCCAATACGCTCATTCCTTCCATTAACAGCTTTTCCTCTTCTTCTTCCTCCTTCCCTCCATTCACCACTGCTTGCTTTTCCAAATCCCCCATTTCTCAAAACAAGGAAAGTTTGACAATTCTTTTATCAGCAAACAAACAGACCAAAGCTTTTCTTTCTCTCTCTCTCTTTCGTTCTTATCCTCTGTGTATTAAAAGGGACTTCTATCCATTTTATAAATGACGATGTATTTTCAGTTTTATTTTTTTATAGGACAAACTTATTTTAGTCCTTATGGAGTTAGAAATGTTCCAACTTGACCTTATATGTTAAGCATTTCCATATTAACCCTCTGGTTTTGGAAAAACTTTAAATATGTCGAGTCCTCTTTACATTCCATTCCTTTTCATGCTTTTCCATCATTTATTTTCCTTCTGTACTTTTCCTTCTTTTTTTCACTCATATGTAGTAGCAAATACAAAATTTTCAACAATAGAGACAAGATGTTTTTGCCTATTGAAAATTAAACATTGTAGCAAAAAACTATCTATTTTTGTAATTAAATCATTAAATTAGATAAGCACTTTATCAACAAAAAATAAATTAAATAAAAAAAGAAATAATATAATAGCTAAAGATTGGGTAAAAAAAATGAAGAAGAAAAATTTTCTTCTTCTCTCTTCATTTTGTTGAAGATAACCAATTTTCTTCTCTTTGGTTTTTTTAATTACTATTAACATGCTAACGTTAATTACTATGAATAATTAAGACAATTCAATATATATATATATATATATATATATATATATATATATATATATATATATATATATATATTCTTCTAGCTTGATGTTTTTACTATCTTTTATCGTTGTATCATATGTTTTGCAAAATTATTTAAAAGTATGCAACAAAGTTATTTTAATTTATATTCTTAAATCCCATATAATCAACTTCAAAATAAATATTTAGTATTATTTTTAAATCAAAATTATATATCTATTTTTTAGTAAATATATTTGGTAAGAGACACGATTGATTAGTGATTTAAATGATCGTTCAATAGTGAAGAAAATACTGTCCATGCATGATTTTATAACCAAATTAATTTTTTTTAATTTAAAAGGTGGATTTGCTGTTAACTTTCGTTAGCTATTAAATAGCTAGGATCACTTTGAAATATTTTGGAAACCATAGCTAATAAAAAAATTGTTAAACTATAAGGACTGAAGTGAACATTTCTGAACACAAAGAAACTAAATAATAATTTGACCTTATTGGAGGCCGTTGCTGTTTGGTTTCTCCAGGGACGATTCTCTTTCTTCTAGTTGGGTGGGGTAGGCGGGCAATTAATGAAACTGGGACCCATTTGGATTATTGACGATACAGCTGTTGCCACGTAATAAATTAATTTTGAGCACCTGCTTCTCTGCTACCCAATTTAACGGTCTAAACTGTGCTTACAGCTTCAAGTAAAAATAAATAAACAAATAATAAAAATCTGAAACCATCCGAATTTGAAAACAGATATTCTAATTATATATTCTCAGATTCTTTGCCGAAAAATCAGCTATCAGTGATTAAGTTTAGATTAATCAAATCCTTTCTGCCAATAATAGTTAACCTAATTATTATTATTTTTTAGTGGCACTTTCTTATCTTTTTCCTTTTTTTTTTTAATCATTATCCACTTTGCAATGCTATTGTCAATTATAGAATGGTGTTTGTTAATGATTTTTAATGTTGGAAATTTAAAGATGTGATTATTATATATTCATTTGAAAATGTTTTTATTATTTGCCATTATGAGGTATTTTTAGATTAGTATATAATCAAAGTTTTTATTTTAAATAATTTTAAAAGAGCATCTCTCATATTTAATTAGATGCACTTAGAGAAATTGATTAGTCGTACTTTCTAATCATGAAGAATAATTCTAGTTTCTCAAAACAAAAACAAAACACAAAACACCAAAAAAAAAAAAAAAGGCAAAGAAAAAGTTTATTTTCGAATTTTTTATTTATTTTCTTGCTTCATTTTAAAATAACATTTTTAATCTTGAAATTTATCATATTGGGTCTAAATCTAGAAAGGATATATATATATATATGAACCTATGCAATTTTCCTTGTGAGGTGACCTACTAAAGATTGAACTTGAAAAAAAGAAAAAAAATTATTTCCCATTCATGAGAAATGGGAAAACCGGTTTGCAAGTGCATCAACCATTAAAATAAAACTATGATTTTTCATTCTTTTGACGTTGTCACCTTTTAGTCCATTGAACATGAAAGATACAAAAAAGAAAACATCCAACTTTTTGCATATATTCTAACCAAAAACTACAGACGAGAACAGCTCTCGTTCACTCAGATTGGTGGTGGCCGGTGGCTAATTATGGGGCAACATTAACAAGGAACGGATGTTTTTCTTTTATTGGAAGGAAAATTAGGTATCAAGTTGACAAGTTGAGTGGAAGGGAAAGAACAGCAAGCCGTCAGGTGTCCACTGTCATGCCATTGATGAACCAATTTCACACGTATATGCCTAATCAGATACCATCCATAATTAACAAACAAATCTGTTGTTTATCAAATCAGCATCTCTATCTCTATCTCTAATCTCGCCAGTGGAGCATTCCTTCAACAGCAATCCAACCTGGTGCTGATCTTGGTGGTGGGACCTTTAGAAAATCATGTCTGCATGGGGTTTTGTTTTTGTTAAGATAAGCTTCTGATTCCCAATAAAGGCCACTTTTTGTGCAACTCTTATCTCAATCACTCAACAAACCCATGTGCAAAAAGCGATTTTGTACTAACGAAATAATAAAAAATAATAATAATAATACTTTCAATGGAGCACCAGGTTGGTGCTCGAATTAATTACATTTTCGTGTATAAAGTTACTAATTTTTTCTATTTTTTTATTTTAATATATCATTTGAGTTTATTAATTTCTAATTTTTTTTATTTAAATGGTTCCTCAACTTTAGTTGACTATGGTGGTTAACTATATATGTGATATCGACATGTAAGCTCCACGAAAAATTTTATAATATATAAAAAATAACTAGTAGCATATATAATAATTACTTTATACATCCACTTTGATAAGAGAAATAAAAAAAAGAGAGAGAGAGAAAGCAAGAAATAGAAAATTAAAAAAAAAAATTAAGCAAACTTGGAAATCTTTTTATCACTTTTGGTGGTTACGAATGTAATCTAATGTGTCTATCTCTCTCTTCAAAATAGATCTATAGAGTAACTACCGTACATATTACTAATTGCTCTTTGTATAGCTCTATTGTCAAACACATCACAACTACCAAAAAAAAAAAAAAAAGAGTTTATCATACGGTTAGTATACAAATTTGTCATTTTTTTTCTATTCTAGTGTATAAACTTTAATATTTACTATTTAAATGTACCAACTTATAATTTTTTTTTGTTTGAGTGGTTCTATTAATTTTAATATGATGTGTTCTTTGAGTGAACACACAATACTATCATGGGAGTCCAGTGTCAAAAACACATGGCAACTAAAAAAATTAAAAAAAAAATGTAAAAAAAATCCATCATCATTCTTAGATAGTAAAAAAGAGTGCAAATAAATTACATAATAACAATTAGATATTATGGCTTTATATAACAATGTTTTTTGGAAAAAAAAAAGACAAATAAATTATTTAAAAATAGCCGGATACAAGAAAAAGATTGAAAATTTAAAAAAAAATTTAGTTTTGTTCATTTATCAAGACAACGATCCATTCTTATCCTCAATAACAAAAAAAAAAAAACTAAAATTGTGATTGTCTAAAAGATGACGATATGAAATTGAGTTTTAATTAAGAGTGAAAAGTAGCTCGAATTTAAAGAGGATAAGATAGATAATTATAAAAAATATATATAATAAATAAAGAAAAATGATCCATTCTCATTCTCATATAGCAAAAATAAATAAATTATTTAACAACAATCAAATATTTATGACTTTACATAAAAGTAATTTTTTCAAAAGGCCAAAAAGTTAAAAAATTACTTAAAAATAACCGGATATAAGGAAAAGATTGATAATTTTATCCAAAAATTTTATTTTTGTTTATTTACGAAGGTAATAATTTATTCTTATTTTTAGTAGAAAAAACTAAGAATGTCTGGTTGTTTAGAAGATAACAATGTAAAATTGAGTTTTAATTCGAATTGCAAGAAGTGGTCTGAATCTAAGTTGGGTAATGTAGGCTGATTAGAAAAAAAATTTATTTAATTTTATATATTTATTAGTTGATTCATTCTCGTTTTTGTAGTAGTTTTTTTTTTTTTACAAATATTTGTTAAATAAGAAATATTTTTGTTTTAGTATTTTTTTTATATAAAAATATTTGACAATTGGATCCACATAACAGTCCTAAGAGTGTATTTGAAGGATAAATTAGTCTAGAGTTAGTTGAACCATTCAAATAAATAAAAAAAATTATAAATTTATACACTTAAATAGTAAAAATTAAATTTTAAAGACTTAAATAAAAAAATTAACAAATTTATAAACCAAATAATAATTTTTTTTATTGTCACACATTTAATAGTAAAGTCAACATATCGTTGTTATGTATGAAATTAATGATCATATCATCATAAAGTTAATGGAACTTGATGAAATCACTATGATGGAAAAGAAAAAAAATGCAACTTAGTATGTTCAAATATATAAGATTAAAATTCATACACTTTAATAGAAAAAAAAATTGATAACTTCCGTATACTAAAAATGTAATTAACTTGTTGATATGCCTACCTGCGAAGGCAGGCTTGGACCAGTCGAAAATGATACCAAGAAGGAAAAAGCATCACATGCCCATCCTTATCAAAACCGTGCAGCCAATCCATGCATATTATTCCAATTATAAGCAACAATCCCAACCTAAGTCGTTGTCACCCTAATTATTAGTTTATGGCATGCGTATTATCAATATACGAGTTCTTTAAAGTTATCTTTTTCTTTTTAATTGGACTATTAAAGTGATCCTAGTTTAACTTATAAGAGAACTCCCTAACAGATATGATAGATCCCTTTCAAATATTTGAGGGTTATTCCATTACCAATTAGATCTGTCCCAACGTAGGGCAAATAAATTTTGCAGGCGGGAAGGTCCAGCCTCGTAGGATGAAGGGTTCCCTAAAGAAGCATGCCCAAGCAGTCAAATGGGTAGGCTTGTACGCCCAGAAAACATCAGAAATTATGTTTACGCCATGACATACCAAAATTTATCGACTTGATAACAAAAGATGTATTACCAGTAGTTATTATCTTACAGTAAACAAACTCATAACAACACATCACAATGCAAACCGAATGGATGCCAATCTAAGCAAAGCGACCATGGTTTGCCATTTTCTGATGATGCAAAAGTAACTGGAGTAAGAAACCTTATTGTACAATCGCTTTGAGTTCAAGTCTTCGTGGCTGGTCTCACGAGTCCCAATCCTGAACCACTACCCAAATGCTTGAAGTCTGTTGCCATAAGATGATCCCCATGACCGGCAAAGCCTGTTCCACCTTTTTCCAAGTTCACCAAATTACGCTCTTTACAACCCTTACTGCAAACCAGACAAACCTTATCGACAGCCATAAATTTGTCCGCACACTTCTTGCAGAAGACATGACCACAGGAACTAAGTGCGACCAGTGATAGTGAGTTGGTGAGAGTAACCTTGCAGCTAGGACAAATGTAGGTCTTATCGAGATAACTGGATGATTTCTTTTCACTAGTGTCTTCTGTAAAGTAGACAGGGAACAGGCTCTTCAGCTTCAGCTTTTCCTTGCCTTCTGGGCAAACGGTACTTGTGGAAGGGATGTCCACTTTAACTGGAGCATCTGGTGTAGCTGAGGGCAGCCAAAATGCTTTCATTGTCCGGAGAGCTTCCTCTTCATATGAAGTGACCTTTACACTGTTTGCCCCATGGAAACAATTCTTGTCTTGGCTGTGGTTTCTATCGCTGTACTGTGGAACTGCACCGTGATTTTGCTGATCGAACGCATCAAGCTCTCTGGCTTTCTGCAATATTAACTTCTCTTCTTCCTCCTCCTTTTCCTGCTTCTTCTGTAATTCATGGGCAGCTAGCTTCCTGACAGATAAGAGAAAAACACACTTCTCATCGCAACAATGGCACTGTAAAGAATAAAAGAAGCTAACACACTACACCAAAACAGCTAAAAAATGTACAGAACTGTTATTTCCTTCAGGCAAAAAGGCTGGGTAGCACAGGGCTCTCTTATCTTTAATTAATGTTCCAACCTGCCTACCTTTCAGTCCAAATCATAAAAGAAAGAGGAAAGCAAATTGCACTTAAGGCCAGTTCCAGTTGAGGTCTAAAATAAAATTGCACATGACCCTTTTCCATCTAAATCTTTCCCCATGAAATACAAAGACGAATATCTTCATAAATTTTTAACTAATAATTGGGAAAGAAGGAGCAAAGTAATACATATCCAAATAAGCAGACTTCCAAAGTAGAATATGACAGTTCAGACTACAATTCTATGGCAACCTCTGAGACAAGACTCCTAAGCTTCTGCCAAAAATTAGTTGTACATTGCTTTGCAGACCATTGAGCTCACAAACACACAATCAGCATGAAAATAGTCGAACCTGGCTAGTGGCCTAAGATGACCGATTTGGTTGTTAAAATGACCAACTTTCTTTCACCATGAATTCCAACCACTCAATTGCCTAAGATCCTAATTTCCAAGATTCTAAGAAACAGTGCCAGCATCAGATCAATGAGAATTTCATATCTAAGCTTACATAATATAAAGCAATACAGTCATAGATCTACAACAGCATACATTCAGAACACACAAATGTTAAAATAGAGGGGAAAACTGAAATAACGCGTTCTTTCCTGATCATCAAGCAGTTCAACAAAAACCTTCCGAACACAACATGTCGCAAAAAAATCTAGAAGGCAGGAATACATTCTCACCGTATTTCAAACACAATCAAACGGTTACTACCCAAATAAATCAGAGCACTAATAACAGTCTATTCATGTCTTATATTCATTACAAAACTCAAAGAGCCTGCACTTATCAACAGAAAAAAACCACAGCCTGCCACAATAAAATTTCCCAATTTAACCTCCAACTCACATTTTAGCCTATCAATCAGAATTTAAACAATCATCTTTCACTTCTCATATCAATTTCAACTCACAATTTCACATTAAACTCAAAATTCTACTTAATTCAGCTTCTATTTTTACTATGAACCCAATTGAATCGCCAACAAAACAAATCCTCCAAGTAAACATTTAAAACAAAACCTAAAATCCGGAAAAAAAAAAAAATCTTCCTCTATTACCAACATGACATCCACAAAGAACCCACGAAAACCCAAATCTCATAAACAGAAAAGAAAATAAATTCTTAAAAAATAAAAAGAATTTAAGCTGCTGTTACCTTTGAATGTCTTTCTTTTGGGCTAAGAGGCACTCTAATATGCACTCTTTACAAAACACGTGACCTTTTTGACAAGACATTGGATCTATAAATGGTTTCAGGCAGAGAGAGCAAGCATCGAATGGCTTGATCGAATCCTTTCCAAGTCTCTCCTTTTGCGTCCCATAACCTAACTTTTTCTTCTCATCGTACGTGAAAAAAGCTAAATCGTTGTTATTTTTAGAGTGTCTTTGAGGCATTTTGTACCGAAAAAAGTTTTGGGTTTGACTGGATCTGAGAGAGGTGAAGCAGAAGAAACCCTAGGAATTGTGAGAATTTTGGGAATTCTTTTGGGGGTTTTAATTGTGACCGACACGCTGGGGAGAGAAAAAATTGCCTACGAGACGACGCGTCGTCTACAATTTGAACTGTAAAACGAGAGGAGTAGCTTACGGTCCCTCGAATATCAATATTCGGTCAATTGACTCTTCTAATTATTAGTATTGCTAAAACTAGACCCTATACGTTCGACTTACAAATAATTAAAAGTCTGTACGGGACGATTTATCATGTTGGATGTAAATTTTTCTCTTTTCCTTTGTCTTCCCTCTTTTCCCTTTTCCTTTCAAAATGATGTTTGTGCTCTGTATGAATCATATGAAATAGGTCACTATTGTGAGAAATGAAGAAGGTGGCAACTCTGTCTGCACTGTGGTGTTACGAGGAAGTACAGATAGTATACTGGATGACCTTGAAAAAGCTGTTGATGATGGAGTCAATACTTACAAGGTAATAGTTGCTTAACATTCATGATATAAAATGGGTTATGTCTTGTAGAAAATGATTTAAAATATTTTTTTTGAAGAAAGAAAGTACATAGGATAATTAGAATTATGAGTTAATTTTTTGTTAAATAAGAAATTTGACTCAATTTTACAAAAAAAAAAAAATTAGAATTAAGTAAAAAATTATTTTAATCCAAGCATATTTATGTTTTTATGAATTAAAAGTTAAAAAACAATTTAAATCAATTTGTAAGAATCATGTTACGAAACCTAAACCCCCCACCTCCTTATTCTTGTACACATTTTCATATTTAGTATGATAAAATAACTCAACATTCTATTTATATTTCACAAGAAAAAATCTGTATATGGTAGAAATTTAGATAACCCGATTGTGTTTATAAAATTGCATTTTATCTGATATTTTGATTAAAATCTCGTTTTTAACTATTTAAGATGAAAATATTTTCTTCTCTTCAAACATTTGATGAAAATTAAGGAATTACTTTAATTTAATTTCATTTTTTTTTGTTAGGATAAATTATAACAATCTACCTCAAATATTGTGCAATCACACAAGGCCTTTAAAAGAATGAATATTTAACAAACCCTCCTTTTGTTTAAGACGTTTTTACAAAAAAAAAAATCTCTTTTATGTTCAAAATGCTTTTGAGATTTTAAATTCATCGACTTTAGTAGTAAGGAAAATTTTAAAATGTTTTATATCTTCAATTTTTAGATAATCTATATAATTCTATAATACCTTAATAGTGTTATTAGCTAATTTAATTTCTTCATTTGCCTTTTAATTAAGGCATATATGGCAAGACATTTTCTTCCATTCTTTAGTTTTATAAGTAAAATTCAATTCATTAGTATTGGCAAGGTTGAATAAATGTAGTTAATCATGTAGGATAGTTTTGAATTAAGAATCTTCATAATACCTTTCGAACCTACAATATATTATAGAATAATATAAAATTATATTTTTAGATATCATAAACAGTAGTGGATTTGTACAAATTTTAAAATGAAAATTTACTTGAAAGGATATATTTAAAAATAGAATAAATATATCAATATGTCTTTATATAATATTTAAATTTTTCTATCTATCCCTAAAATTTTTTAAAATATTTAATCTGTCTTTTCAATCATAAATTTTTTTTTTGATTGAACTACCTCCGATTAAAATGCACCAAAAAAAATTAAAAAAACTTTAAAAATAGAATATGAAAGTCATGTAACTTTAATTTTTTTGTTTTTGTTGGTTAACTCACGTCCCCATAAAAATCAATATATAATAATAAAAGAAATATAGATTTTTTGAAAGTTTTCTCAATGTTGGATAGCGACGAGCATGACAACTCTAATAGGGATTCAAAATTAGACCATAAGTTTAGTTCTTTTTTAATTTATCTCCTTTATTTATTTTTGTTATTTGTTTTCCAAGTTCTTTGTTTAATTTCAAGTTATTTATTTTATATAATTCATTATTTTTTTTATTTAATTCTTGTATATATTTATTTCAAGTTATTTATTTTATACAATTTATCTTCTTGTATTTTATTTTTTGCACATATCTATTGTGGATTGGGTTGGATATATTTGCTTTGTATTATTGGAAACACCACAAGAAAAGCCCACATAAACTCTAGACCTAAGCTAAAAAACCTTATTGAGTTTAGATAGAAAGATCTAGATGGCAAGTATGATGAAACTCTACTAATACTCATTTGAACTCTCATTTGAACTCAAACTCACCCTATACATAAAAAATTATGAAATGACATTCACTTACCTTCGGTGTATAAGATTAGATATTGGATTATCCAACTGGTAATCTAGATAGTTTGTAGACTTGAAAAGACCTTAGCATTAGATAAAATTTGCCTAAATTCTATTTAGAAAAAGCTAGATCATATCCATTAAGGTTGACCCATTAAGACACGAACTAGCTCGTGATAATGCTCATTCTAACCTTTTTTTGATAGGTTAACACCAAAAAAAATGATGAAAGAGGAAGTGAAAAATACTACATAAGATTTTAGGATCGGATTAGAGCGGGTTTTATTTGAGAAGAGAAACTATCTACCCTCGGGTTTTATATCAAAGCCATTAGAAAAGATGAGTCCCGCAAACAATGAGTACACCATCATAGAGAGCTCATATTGTTTTATACAAGACTAAAAAATCTTGTAGCTACCACTAGGCTCACATCATAGTCCAAGGTTGTAGATAGTAGAATAGGAATATATTATGTAATGAAAAATATTATAAGCATTGTAATATAAGCTAAATGGTTGTAAAATTTATTTTTTAGTAATCATTATAGTATAAATCAAATAGTTGTACTATTTTTTTCAATAAAAAATGGCTCTATATCATAGTTAGAATGTGTTAAAAGTTTAAATTTCAAATTCTTCCGTATATGTTGTTACAAAGATGCATCCATCACTTACGATCCCAACCAAAAAATGGTAAAAAAAAAAAAAGTAGGGTAGACATGTTTCCCAGATTGCTCGAAGTATCTATAGGTTAATACTCTCAACGAGTACTTAAAATCCGATCCGGCATGTCTTATGTACAAGCTTTGTCATGATTTGAAATCTATAACGTTAAAGCAACGTATCCAATTCGAGTTCACATTTTACATGCATATATTTATTATATATCCAGTTCAAATTGCGTTTTACCAATTAAAATATAAGTAGTCTCGTTAAAACTTAATTCTCCTCTCGAATATACCACACTCGACTTTGGCAACAACAAATGGAGAACAAAGAGGAGACACAATTGGAACATACTCACCAACAAGAACTTAATGCCATGAAAAAGGAAAATTTTCGTCCGTCCAATCCGGTGAAAAGGGAGTTACAATCATTACCAAGTAGAGGGGACACTTCACACTAAGGTCAAAATCAAGGTGAAATGCCATAAGCTTTTTCGATGCCAAACCTACGGTTCAAGACCTTTACTATCCCACCCACTAATTCGGAGGTAACTATATTTCATGTTGAGACCCTCATTTTCCGTTGGGTCATTTTCTTATACAATGAGTCGATAAGCTATGCGGATGTAAGGTACTCCTATTACGGATATTATCGGTGAATAGACTCATAAGGTCAAGACAAGTAAAAGGACTTAACTTGAACATCCTATCAATAATTGAAGAGTGCCTTGAGAGTATTGACATGTATGATCTTATGAGAGTGTTGAGATGTGTCGGATGCAAGATGTGATAATTTCCAAGAGGTTTAGATTTTCAAAATTCACTAGGCACTCAACATCCATGTGAGTATACTATAGCAAGATGTATGAGATTGTGTATGGTGAAAAGTTGCTAATGCACTTTTTTCATGAAAGCATGAGTGGATCTACTCGAGTCTGGTTCATACAACTAGATAGTGCTAAAATCAAGAAATGAGAGGATTTAGCGAAACTTTCATAAAGGAGTATAATTTTAACATGGAGGTCGCTCCAAATCAATCCGATGCACTTCGAGTCTCTCTACTTGTCTAAATTACTCTTTTGTGTTCAAATTTTGAAAGGTTAGCTATCCTCCTCGACTTAATGGCTTGTTCAATCCGATCAACGAGCAAACACTATCTCAACAAAGTTATTTGACCTACTACGCAATAAATAGTCGTAGTATAGAGCTTTGAAGGTGTTGATTAAAAGAGTAACCGGTTATTTCTCAAAAAGGATGGGCAAATTCGAGAAGTCGTTTCTCGCCATCGTTGAGCATATTCCTTTATAAACTCATTCGGGCCTTTTTTCATAGATTATATGATCAATCTATTAGGTATTATCTCTAAACTAAACTTATACTGCCTTATGAATATATCTATCAAAACCTTCCACCTCTTGATTTTGGTCTAGTCTAGATTAATAAACTAGTTAAGAGTAGACCCATCAAAACTATTAGGAAAGAAATGGATCGATAGTTTTTTATCATATGCTATCTCAAGCATTTGTTTAAATAGATCCTTAGGTGGGTCTTAAGACATTAACTCCTTTTTCTCGCCATCGTTGAGCATATTTCTTTACAAACTCATTTGAGCCTTTTTACATAGATTATAAGATCGATCTATCGGATTTTATCTCTAGGTTAAACTTGTATTGTCTTATTAATATATCTATCAAATCCTTCTACCTCTTGATCATGGTCTAGTCTACATCGGTAAACTAGTTGAGAGCAAATCCGTCGAGACCCTTAAGAAAGAAGTGGATCAACAATTTTTTATCATATGCTACCTCAACCATTTTGTTTAAGTAGATCATTAGGTGGGTCTTAGGATATTAACTCTCAATGTACTTAGTAAATTCAAACAACTTGAATTTCTTAAGAATCACCACGTTCGACATTAGACATTTAGTCGCACTAAGGAGAGGGCCATACATATTTGCACTCGTGATAGCTCTCAAAAGTTCCTCGATAGTCACAAGCTTTTCAATTTCTAGTTACGAGGCTATCTTTTCCTTGGCCAACTCTTTAGTGGTGAAATCGATAGTTGCTTGTTGCCAATGCTTGGACGAGTCCAAGGCAATACAAGAGTAGGCCCAAAGATCTAGAAGCAAACTCATACGTGCCTTCTAGCGTAGAATGGTTGGCATAATTAGTACTACCAACGGGCTCGAAATGAGACATGCCAAAAGGTGATACTAAAGACACAATCCGAGTGATCGGTGGTACTAGAGGAAATTTGATCACTCGTTTTTATTTTCGAGGCTAGTTACCTATGACAACCGGATCAACGTTTTTATTTTCAAAGCTAGTCACCCATGACAATTAGACCGTTATTTTGTTTTCGGGACTATTCATCCATGACAATCGGATCGACATTTTGTTTTCATGACTAGTCATCCATGATAACTAGACCATCATTTTATTTTTCAGGGTTAGTCACCCAAAACAACAAGACATTATTTTATTCTCATGTCTAGTCAACCAAGAACAACCAGGAAATGATGAAGAGAGCAACATCATGGAATTGACAAAGGAAATCAATGGTCTACCTAAAATCTGTTGATCGATCCTTTCCTTGCCAACCCATTTCCTTCCACTGCTCAGATATCAAACCATTAAGTTCTTCTTAAGGAAAGGCAGCGTTCCATAAGGCCTTCAAGCTTCCTGGAGGAAAGGAGCAGAACTATAAAAATAATGCAATCAGGGAGCCTTCACGTTTCAAAAAATTAATAATCTAATTACATGTATGAAATCTATGAATTTTTAATTCCCTTACTCATAAGAATGACAAATCTAGCAAACAAATAATTCATCTGTTATTGTAAATGGATTTCCACTGATTCTATTTCTGTAACACCCAAAACTTCAATAGAACCTTCAGAAGAAGACTGCTGAAAAAGCAATCTTCAAATACATGGACTTTAATAATAGAGATGGTAACATTAAAGAATCTTAAAACATGAAAAAGTAATGCAAAACTAGATGACTGGTAAGTTCACCGCAATTTTTGCCCTAATTTTTACGTTTCCCAAGTTGAGTACTCGCACAGAAGATGACGCCACTTTGAATAACGTGAAGAGATAATTTGAAATCCAATATTATTGCATGAAGAATCAAACTTCATAAAGGGCACTAAAACAATCTGATGAACGGTTTTCTTCATAGAAAATTTTGAAGTACTTTTTCAAAGGGAAGGAAGAGAGACAAATTAAAATCTGAAAAAATTCGACCGTTACAATTGTTGAGCGACATGTATTGGATTGTCTGTTTTTTTTTCCTAGAAAATTATGTGAGAAAGGGGAGTAATAAGTTACTTTTTTGCATTTTTTTCCCACTCAGTTGTTACAGTTACGTCAATTAAATGAGTTTATTAAAACAAAAAACCAGCTTTCATTGATACATACTTACATCAATCAAATTTATATATAGAGAGAGAGAGACTAAATTTTAAATTAGTTCATCTCGTTTCAAGAAATAAATAAATAAATTCTTTTATTTTAAAAAATTAATTATTTAATTTTTTTATTTTTAATTAATTTTGATTTTAAAAATAAAAAATAAGTAAATATATAAAAAAATGGACGAGAAAATAAAACATTAAATCAATATAGTCAACCTTTGTTTAAATAATTAAATAATTAATTTTTCGAAAACGGCACATCATCCTTTATCCATTCAACCTACAGACATGTCATATTGTCATTCCTATACTCATATTTGTAGCGAACTTCTTTTTTGCTCATATAGAATCATTAGGCTCCACTTCTATCCTTATAGTTTTTTTTATATAAGTGTCTTTATGAAATATTATCATACTTGAGAGGACTTGAGAGGAAAAATAAAAATAAAATAACATGCGATTATGAAAAAGAAATCACCCTTTAGTTAGATATTTAGTAATAAAAGATTAATTAACTAATAATGAACTTTTAACTTAATGTTATTCTTGTACAAGTAATAAGAATTAGGTCTCGTCTTGATAGAAAAAATCTGATAAAATTGAATCATGCTAGTATAAAAATAAATAAATAAAAGGTTTTTAAAATCAAAGAAATAATATTGGAAATTTTTAAATAATGGGGACAGAAATGAAACATTGGTAAATATATAAGACCAAAAATATAGTTTATCCAAAATCTAATCAGGTATCATCCATCAAGCCGCTGGATAATAACATTTTACTTTTGCAAACCAAAGTACTGCGACATTTCCACCTGTCATCCTAACACTTCCTCTTGTCTCTCACGCCTCGAAGAACCCTCCTTTTCCTTTTCTTCTCTCCTTTTCCAAAACAACCAAGGTACCAATCTTTTTAACACAGTTTCCGTTTTCTCCTAAATATTCCTTTCTCAAACTCCACAAAAACAAGAACCCAAATAGCAGAATACGTCCTTTTTTGGTTGTTTGTCTTGTTTTTCCTGTCTTGCAGCAGCTATGTCATCTTCACCATCACCTAAGAAAAACCCACCAACAGAATCGGCTGTGGTGGTTCAAGTCGAACCCTCATCACCGCGTTTCCCTGTCACCACTCCAACATCTGGTGCTCAAAGGAGAATAGGAATTGCTGTTGATCTCAGTGATGAAAGTGCTTTTGCTGTCAAATGGGCTGTTCAAAACTACTTGCGTCCTGGTGATGGAGTGATCTTAGTCCATGTTCGGCCCACAAATGTTCTTTACGGTGCTGATTGGGGTGCATTGCCAATTAAAGAGAACTACAATTTAGATGATCAAAATGAACAGAATCAGCAAAAGATTGAAGAGGATTTTGATCTCTTTACGAGCACGAAAGCTAATGATATAGCACAGCCACTTGTTGATGCTAACATACCCTTTAAAATTCATATTGTAAAGGATCATGATATGAAAGAAAGGCTTTGTTTGGAGGTTGAGAGGTTGGGGTTGAGTGCTTTGGTAATGGGGAGTAGAGGGTTTGGTGCTTCAAGGAAGAGCAACAAAGGGAGGTTAGGGAGTGTTAGTGATTATTGTGTCCGTCACTGTGTTTGTCCTGTTATTGTTGTGAGGTGTCCTGATGAGAAAGATGATGGTGAGGGGTCAGAGAGGGATGACAAGGCGGCTTTGGGTCCTGTGATGGAGGAGAAGGAGCAGGAGGAGCACGACATGGGCGATAAACAAGCAGGTTAGAGTTTGTTTGTTGCTTTGTTATGTTTAATTGATTACGATTATCTTGGCTTGATTAATGTCATTAAGGCTGATTGTCTGTTCATTAGGTGCAATAATTGATTAGTTCTGGTGTGTTTTAAAGCTCAGTATGATCATCTTAATGATTGTTAGCCGAAGAATTACATGTTTGAGTTGATGCCATTTGTTTGTTCAGTTTAGCTTCTTTCCATTTAGGTTTAGATCATTTTATTTGATTATTCAGTCAAAGCTTTTTGCCATTTTGGGTCCAATGTGTCATCATTCTGATTATAAAGGCAATCTTATGCAAGATTGATAATGCAAATAATGATGAGAGTGCATGGGATAGTGAAATTTCCTTTCAATGTCGCCACTGAATCTTATTAGGTCAGAGCTTGTTTCCTCCTTATGGTAATGATTTTGATTAGGGTGTTTAGGACTAGGGAAGAGATGATTTCTGGTAAGTGATAATTGATATTGGTGTTAAAGACTTTTTTGTTGTTACTAGTTTTATTGGTGTTCATTAACACTTTTCCTTCGTGTCAACCCATACCTTATTACTAGTTAAGAACAGCTCCATTCAGCAACATCGATGGTGTGGATTTTGAATCATGATAGTGTACTAAGAGAGAAAACATATGACACTTTGTTACAGGATTTTTTTATATTTAACAATGAACTTGAGAGATTATTTCGAATGACGAGCAAGAATCCACTTGATCAACTTTGTATTTCAGCATTTATTGTTTGGACGGATTATTAAGGAATAATATCAAAATAGGACCAGTTTAGTAACATTTTTGTAGAATATTGATATTTCCCATGCTTTCAACTTCAGTTCACGCTACTTGCACAATGTTGATGGTCGACTTGTCAATGCTGTGAACTTCTTTTTCTGCCAATTTGGCCGTTTTATTTTGATGTGAACTAGGAAAGAAGAAGACAACCTTATATTCCGGGTCTGTTTTAATCTAGTCCGTTTCAAATAAATCCAACTGTTTCTGCATCTTTGTCGTTTCCATTGAGGTAAAGGTTTAGCATGGTGTATGATTCACGCAACTCAGATAGGGGGCTGTTTGTTATTTTAGAGATTGGTGTAGTGTTAAATGCACATTTCATTTGTTCCCTTTTCGTTTGCTTTGCCTCTTTCGTTGCCAGAGTGTTACCCTAGTTTCAAGTCTCTTTTCCTTATGCTATGCCAGGCCTTCAGTCTACTCACCAATTATTTCATAAAACATCAACTTAGGGAGCATTCCATGTTTCAAGTCTTAGTTACTTAGTTCAATAATGAAACTTTAAGGTTCTGATTGGAACTAGCATGCAACTTTTTGACCTTTATGTTTACTTCATAAACTTCTTGGAATTCAAATTCACCAATCTGACTTTTAATTTTTTATCTACTTCCCCTTGTATGGTGATAAATGCTGCCAGTTTTCGAGACCTCTTGTATATCTGATTTATTTTTTGTTTCACCCTGATAAACTCTGACTGCATTCCTGAAATGAAAACTCAATACTCGTGGCACTTATCCCTATCAATGCATTCAATTTTTGGGTTGATTGGGAGTTGTTAGCTAGGTCTTTGAACTTATATTGTGTCATATTAGCAAAACATGGGCATGTTTTAGCTTGTGTCCAGAATAACAACTTGAGGTGACATATGAAACTTGACCAAGTATCAGATGAAAAATTAAATTATGTGCTAATTCCACGGATTAAGACTTTCCGTCTTCCTTTCTTCACATTAAAATTCAAATTTGGTTTCAAGATAGGCTCCCGTGTTTTGCTTAGGAGGATGGTTTGGGGTGGTGTGTGGTTTCGGGTTGTTGGAACCCAGTGGGTTGCTGTTAAGTGATGGAGATGCATTGATGATAATTTTAACTCTGAGATACAATGTACCTGAAGCCAAAAGGTACCTTTGGCATACCAGGACCTAAATAGGCATACTTTTTTTATGAAAAAGTGTTTTATAGAACGACTTATGATCGAGTTTATAAGTGCCGTTGATTACAGCTTGGTCTAATGCTATTACTATCACTGATAGCAGTTTTCTTTTTGATATATATACAATATCAGGAATGGTCGATGTACTTAACATGCCTAGGAGCAACTAGCCAATCTAAGAGAATTGGTGCATTTAATATTTTCTTTTGTGGGTGTGTTTATCAAATGTTAAGTTAAAAAGTGAAATATGTGTTCATTTTGGAGCAGTTATTACTCTATAGACCTCCTAGAGAGTTGGTCTCTGGTTAATGATTGTCATCTAATATATAATCCTACCTTAGAACCAAATATTGTCATGTGCTAGAAATATCAAAATGTGTCTACAGTCATCTTTATGATTGTTGGCTTAGTTCTTTTTTTCATTTTAGTTTCTTTAGCTTGTTTCTTTTTAGGTCTAAATCATCATCTCTCACAGACCACTTAAATGAATAGCAAACAAGAGAGACAGTGATTGCAGTAGAGGATTAGTTGTGGTGGCCCGAAGGGACCCTTTGATACCCCACCGCTGGTAAATATCGAGAGAGATTCTATGTGCTTGATTGGCAGGGAACTACTTTTCCTTGTAGGTAATATGGTGGTGGTGATATTATCACCCATAAGCCCTGCTGGGTTTCATTACATGTGACAATTTGATAAAAAACAACTAAATCACAAACATCAAAATGGCTGTCAGTAAAATGTGGTGACAAACTCGTTTAAGCTCCAGAAATGCCACTAAACCAAGTTACTACCAGTTTTCATTTCATGCTGACATTAGATTCATTTCTCAAGTTTCTAACCGTGAATCACTGGCTTTCAACTTTTGGAATGCTTCTGAACTAAGTAGAATGATGGGTATGCTATATCTAGAGCAGCCTTGGTATTCTCCATTGTGATGGTTTGGAGTTTTGTGTAACGGTGGGAATTTTTTGTTATGTTTTGTTTTGAGCTGGGGGTGGGGAATCAAACGCAGGTTTCTCTAGACCCAGTTGGGTCGTCTAACGGTGATCTTATGTTAACATGAGGATATGTTGTGTTCCATCAGGATATATGCATTTGCCTCAATTGCTATTCTCCTCAATGCTTTAACTACCACATTCAGACTTCAAAGTTTAATGATTTTATCAATTCTCTTGTTTGAGTCAATTGGATTAACTCATTTTTGTGGGAGGATTATGATACCGGTGCATGAGTCGATCATAGACCCCTTCGTGGAAGTTAGAATTGCAATTGCTGAGTGTAATAAAATCAAAGTACTGAGTACTTTTCTCTTTCTCTCCCTTTCTATATTCAAGCTTACATACTCACGTATTTAATGGACACACATACATGTACATGATGTGTCTATAAGAAAGTTGATTTCAGTATTCCTTCTCTTGTGTTAAAGCTAAAGTTAAACAACCTTTTCTTTGCCTTGCAGATATGGAGACGGCTTCTTGAAGATAAGATGCTGAAGTATCAGAATGTTCGATTTGTCCTGATGGTTGCATGATCAGTCTTTGAAAATGTTTGGTAGTACTGTTCTCTATTTCTCCAGCTTTTTTCTACCTTTCAAAATGTTTAGTTTACTTAAGTGTGTAGTTTGGATGATGACACTGCTCCTTGTGAGGTTGTAATATAAATAGGTTGCACTTTTTTATCAGACTCGTGAAATTTCTGCTAGAAACCTCTTTTAGGAGTGTGCTTATTTTATAGTGTCAATGCCCGTGTCAGGAACTCAGGATGTGTATAATCAGTGATGGTTCCTTTGGCTTTCATGAAAACTGCTAAATTAGAAAATGAAGGGTGATAACTTATTGCTTAATATGGGATTGCTGCATTATTAAGAATGAAATGGCAGCCAAATACTGCCTTCATCTTCAACCACAACTGATCTACTGTTTTTTTCTTCATTAAAAAAAAAGAAATCTTCCTCCCTTTGCTGGTCATAATTCTCGTGGCAATCTAGTTCAGAAAAGAAAGATTGGCATGCCATTTAGAAGAAAAGCCATATCAGGGTTAACCTTTTTCGGTATTTAGAATGTGTTTAGTGTGAAGGATCATCTGTCAAAAGAGGTGAGCGAGCTGGTAGTCAAATAACGCGTTCTCTCTATTATCTTTACATTTTCAACAGGAACCATCGAGCTACTCTTGCAAATTAAACCATACCTTGCATTACACATGCTACATTATTAAAATGCTGCAAGTGTGTCATGGCAGCACCAAAATGGCTTAGAATAAATTTGCCTGACCAATCTTAACATTGTCTTTTATCAAGCCCAAAAAAACCATACTAGCTTGCCCCTCTTAAAATTGACTCTAGATTACTTTGCATGATGACAATTTTTTTTTTTTAAATAATTAGGGTATATATTCGAACTTCAGCAATTTTAGCAGATCATCATGACTCAAACTGGGGAACAGATTCATTTATTATCAGAACTAAACCTCAAAGATTTACAGTTTGACAAACAAAACAAAGTAATGTAATGAGATCGAATTTGAGGAGTCTAAAAGTAATTCTATTAAAAAGCAGTGGCAATGTGCCAGCTGGGGTGGCATGCTACAGATTTTTTATATTGAAACTTTGAATGCTGTCAAGAAGATAAAGAAAACGTTATCGTCAAACTTGCTAAAAAAACTGAGCTCCTGTCATTTTCCAGCAAATCATTTCATCTGGGACTTGATGACAGGAAAAACCGATAAATGGTCCATGTTGCCATTTGCCAAACTGTTTCAATGAGGATAAACTACTTGGGACCTCAAAAATTGACCGCCAACATTACTCAATTCATTTTTTTCCTCTCCTCTCTTCAACGCCTAATTATCTGAGCCTACTCAGTTTTCTCCCTTCAGTTCATTTAATTTTGGCCACATGGTTTCCTAGTAGTTTTTGTTCTTCTTCCATTTCTATCAATTCATTGATCTCTCAAAAAAAAAAAAAAAAAAAAAAAGAGTAAAAAAAAAAGAAGTGGAGCCCAACTTTTAAGCATCTCTAGGAATGTGAACAAGACAAATCACAAAATACATTGCAATCCTAAAATTTTAGCTTTCGTTGTCTGTTTTATAGGTCTATTTGGAGAATATCTAGTTCTTTATGGTTTAAAACTGTCAATGTGATTACACCAATTTTTAGATGGGCAAGCACCAAATCTTGATATCTCAATTTCATTAGCTTCCATAGTTACAACTTACAAGGACACTAGCAAGCACCAAAATTTTGAAAGTCATCCAATAGAAGGAGTGACCCTACGTTGATTGAGACAGGAGATGGAATAAGCTTGCATCACTTGACTGGTGTGATAATGGCGAAGTATGTCAATAGAAAAGAACTTCACATGGTCAAATTTTGTTTCCTATTCTATGGAATAATGACTAAGAAGTGGCTATGATTTGAAGTTGCGAAGGCCATGAGCATTGCGAAGAATAAATGAATTATTCTTTGTCTGGCAGCTATCCATAGCAATCACAACAGAATCAAAACATCATTGAAGGGAAACAAATATCTCTCATATTCATGGTGGTGGATAATGCATTAGCTAGGATCCTTTATATCCTTTCAAAATTCTCCCCAACTTTACGCTATTGAAGTTTTATACAGTCACTGTGTTGTCTATATATTTGTTGTTGTAATTCCAATATTTATGGGTGAGACATAATCACATGGTAGATTTCATAAATATGTTTTTCTTTATGGTAAGTAGTTTCATGTATCCAAATGTATTCATCCAAGAAGATTGATTTGAGTAAAACGAGTCTTAATCGTTTAATCAAATGACTTCAAGTTTAAGTCTTTGTATATACATAAAACTCTTTAAGCAATCTGTGTTTATTGTGTACATCCGACCGAACGACAAAAGATTAGTTTAAACATTAGGTCTGAAATATCTTAGGAATAACAAAAATATATAGTTTTTAACACATGCATATTTAATTTAAAATTTAATGATTGTGTACCTGATAATTTCTTAATAAAATAAGATTTGAGTTTAAATAATTTTAATTTATTTAGTGATGGTACAATGGAAGATGTTATTTATATACTCCTAAACCTATAAATATCTCGATAAAAAAGTAGAAATTTATGAAAATTTTCTTCTCATTTCATATACATTTGTATTATAATGATCAAAGAAAAAAATAAAATAAATAACACCTCTTCGATTGTCAAGTCAACCCTCCTAACGTTTTGTACTAGCAGGCTCATAAATGCTAAAATCAGATGCCACAAAAATTGTGCAATGGTAAATAGTTTTTTTTTTCAAAATTTATCCTCTTAACTCTCCCCCTTTTTTCTTTTCTTTTCTTTTTTTTTTTTTGACTTCAGCCTATGTTATTAATTAATCTAATAATTACTTATGGATCTGTCGCCCTCTTAAAAAAATTGTGTTAAAATACGAGTTCATGCCTTCATGGCCTATGGTAGGCACGTGGAGCTGTCGGAGGAAGATTAACCAGTAGTCTATTATAGCTGTGATCGCATAATATCATTTTTCTAATGGCTCTCCAAGAATCTAGTGGCAGCCTGCTCATACGAGCCTCCTAAATCTTGATGTTATTTTGTAGGTTGCGTATTAATTTATATTATCTTTGTTCGTAACTTTAAAAGATATCTTCAATGTTAATTTTCGTGTATCAAAATCAATCTTAATCAGGTATCTACCTCATCCCAAATTAAAGTCAAGTAAAAAGTAATAATGGAAAAAAAAAAAAACCCCACTCATCACGCAAGCCAAATCATATATATATATATATATATATTCGAATAAATTTTTATATTAATCGAGAATAAATTTATTATTTTTTTGAGTTATATCAACATCAAAATATGCATAGTTTTTTTATGGAAAAAAAACCCACTCATCACGCAAGCCAAATCTAATATATATATATATTTTCGGATCAATTTTATATTAATTTAGATTAAATTTATTATTTTTTGAATTTTTTGAATTATACCGACATCAAAACATGTGTAGTTTTTGATTCACCATTAAATTTTTTCTTAAACTAAATGAACTCAAACTTAATACCCTTAAAAAAATAATTATTACTAATTACTTACTTATATATAGTAGAAATCAAGCTTTGATTTTTATCAAATCAGAACAATTCTTTTATCGCTAAACTACATGGCCTGAATGAGATATTTGTTATCTTTTTATATAGTTTATAGATTAGAAAGAGATGGCCAGATTGATCTTAAGCTCAGATGGAGATCGCAACGCCAAGATATTTTCACCAGGTTATTACAGCCACAAATTATGCATTATTTTAAGGGAAACCATGGATTCTTCTGTGGGCTGGGAATGAATTTTTTAATTTAAACCTTAACAGCAGGCATGTGGCCAAGGTGAACCACGAGTCTAACCTGAAACCTGAAAGCATTCCATTTTCTAAATAAAGAATTGGAAGGAAAGCAATGAAACAAAGAAGAGAGCAACAAAACTTGTGGTTCTTGCAAAAGAAACAACGAATACATACCGTCATAGAAGTGTTAGGTTTACATTCATTAGTCAAAGAATCAAAACAATTTCTTCTCAGTAACGAGAAAGACAATAATATCCACACTCCTTCTAGAGTAGGGTCCCACTTTCACCTGGGGACGAAATTTGGACCATACAAGTGTTTGACATGGAACATTTCAACACCTGCTGATTCCATAATTTTGTTGACAGTCTTAGGACGATTTCTTGAAGAACTGAACCAAAACATGTAGTATTGCGCAGATAAGATTCTACCATAGGATTTGTATTTCAGTACGGAGAAAGATACATGCACTGAAAATTGCAAAACAAGAACTTACGATTAAATTGAAACTAAAAAGGATCTATCTCACGTTGAGGTTATGACAACTTTTCTATTACAGCAACATTACCTGGCTATTACAATCCAGTGAAAATTAGCATCAACAAATCCAGGTTCTTGATTAGCTCAGCTTGCAGTGACATAGGAAATTTTAGCTAGCCTTAAGCTCGAGCTACCTAAAAAAGCTGATTCACTTGACATTAACACATTCAGGTTATCTTGCAATAACAAGCAGCTTAGTCTATATGATCCGAGTTCAGAAGAGAAAGTTCTTTCACTACAATCTTCAATTTTGCTTGAAGATTTATCAGGACAGGATAGATGAACGGTTTTGAACACCAACCATCAAATATACAAGACTCATAGGCTAAACCTGATGAAAATTAGTAGGCTCAGGCACAGTTCCACGCCTGCGTTTTGAAGAAAATGCTCTTCTTGATTGTGATGCTGCTCCATCACTGTCACAAAATCTGCTTGAACATTCTTCGCTATTACTAGAAGAGCTTGAAACAGGCGGAGGCGGCGTAGAATACCATGGAACTACTTGATTTTCTTCATCATCTTCGCCGCCATGACCATTACCATCATCTTCATTTTCATCATCTTCATCATTATCATCTTCTCTATCAAGATCATCATCATCATCCTCTTTATCATCGTCTTTATCATCATTGTCACCGTCTTTATCATCTTCACTGCCTCTTTCTTCTCTATAACTCGAGCTGTTCACGCAGTTGTCGCAGACAGAAAGGGTAGGGCCTAACTTGGGGCCGGTACCGGTCCAAGGCGTGAGGGCTTGGCAAACATGACAAAGAAGTGTTCTAGAATGCTTGGCGACAAGAAAATTTGCACTGTGAACATTAGCATCACAGTCCCAACACAGGCTGGCTTGATCTGATTCACAGTACATTTTTGCTAAAGAATCACAGAGCTCACACTTCTTCATTTCTTCCCTCTCGATTTGGAGATGGACTAAATTAAGATGCCACCGATGTGCATGTTCTGCTTTTATTTCTGTCTTTGTTTGGACCTAAAAAAACAGAACACATGGTTCAGGACAACTTGCAACTGTTGATATTGAAAACCTGCTTTGCTTTCATTTTTATAATGACAAAAAAGGGAAATTTTCTCTTGCAATTGGGGTATTACACCAACTCTCTATTGCCTTGAAGAAATTATTGGTTCAGATTGACTAGATGTTAGTATGCTGACTTTGATAGACATGATTAACTATAATGGAGACAAATTGTTTAGGTAGCAGATATGATTTTTTTTTTTTTTTTTTTGGATTTTACATAAACAGATATTTTTGGATTAATTTTTGTTCCTACGATGATGTAAAATTCTAATCTTTAATAAACAAACGATAGATCACTAAAGAATTATAGATTTTAAAAAATATCAATAAGTTTGTAGTTTAATGATATTATTGTATAAGAAAAATGAAGTTTCAAGGCAAATTTAATAAAATTGCATAATATTGATAATAAAATGCAGATAAAATTTTTAAATGTAAATAAGATTCTATTAAAATCAATATAAATAGATAAAAAATAATTTTTGGTATCTAATCTTACATTGTTTAAGAGTTAATTGAAAGTCAATAAAGAAATGATAATTAGACGAAGTAAGCCAAATTAAGAGTAAATAATTCCTTCTATTGTTATATAATTGGTTAATTTTTTTAATATCTGTTTATATTTCTAATTATATTTATTACGTTCTTATATAATATTCAATTTTTTGATATATATATATATATCAATTAAAGTTTTTCCATTCAAATTGATATAATTATTATTTTTTCATTCTAAAAATATATCCCTAAACTAGACAACAATATAGTTTTAATTTTTTTAAACATTATTTTTATAAAATTTAATGGTTGAGTCATTTTGAAACTTTTTATTTCTTAAAACATTGTTAGTAAGAAAATTTTCTATTATATGATTATATAACCTGAAGATAATTTTAAAATAAAAATATATAATTTTTTTCAATTTAGATGGAAAAACTTAAATTTAAGAATGTATTGAAAAATTAGATATTCTACAAGAATAAAATAGACATGATTAAAAAAATATAAGAACATATTCTACACTTGTATACTTACGAGCTATTTACCCGAAGTTAAATCAACGAAGTCAATTTGCTCAAGCCTCAACCAATGGATTGTTCAAGTGGGGAGTCTTGGAGAAAGCAGAAAATCCATTGTGAGGTAAAATTGTAAAAAATAGGGTTTAATGGTAAATTTTATCCTCATTTTATTGCAATTTGATAATTTTGAATTTATTATATCAACTTACATAATTTGAACTTTAAAGCATTGAAAATTAGGTAAATATGATTTAAATTGCCCAATCTCCATTATGTGTAATTTGAAATGTCAAAACGACGTTATTTTAGCATTTCATTGTTAATTATGTTTTTTAGAAAAATATTTTAAAAATATTTTTAACCCCCATAATCTTGAACTTTAACTTTTTTATAAAAGATTATAAATATTTTATAAATTATATAAAAGAAAATTTTATAAATATTTTTAACCACCTAATTTTGAAATTTTTTAATTTTTTTAAATAAAATGTTATTGTAAAAAACATAATTAACAATACACAATTCCAGGCCTTAAAAAATATTTTATAAATTAAAATGAACATAATTAATGGCTAATCCTTGTAATTTATAATTATAAAAAACATTTTTTTATAAAATGTTTATAATATTTTATAAAAAAAGTTAAAAAAATTCAAAATTAAGGGAGTTAAAAATATTTATAATTTTTTTTATATAATTTATACATATTTTATAAGTTTTTTTTTTTTTAAAGTTCAAGATTAGTCAATTAAAAATATTTATAAATTTTTTTAAAAAATAATTGATAGTAGAATGTCAAAATGACGTTATTTTGGCATTTTAAGTAATGATCAATTAGGTTGATCATTACACATAATGAAAATTTAATAATTTGGATCACATTTATCTAATTTTCAATATTTTAAGATTTAAATTACGCGATTTGATATTATATATTTGAAGTTGTTAAATCACACTAGAATAGAAGCAAAATTTGCTATTAAACCGAAAAATGAGATTAAAATGTGGATGGGAAAGTAAAGGGTTTACTGGGTGGGAATTAGGTTAACTATTGACAAGTCATGAGTGCCCACCAAAACCTCACCAAATCAAAATGCTAACGTGGGGGTGGAAGGAAGCACTTGAGGTGAAGCACTGGACCTAACCCCTCAGGTCCCTCCTTATCTTGTATTTCTTGCTCTTGCGCATGCATCAACCTAGATGCCATGGTATAAGACGAATTGAAATGCAGACAAGCTTTATTATTGATTTATTAACTTTATCTTTGTTTTAATACCGATAAGAGGATATTGATGGTTTTTCCAATAATCCTCACTTTTAATGATGTAGCTCTAATTCCTCTAAACTATTATATCCTTTAGTCAGGTGGTCCCACTTTTGTCCTACAAATTCAAGCATTGGAGCTCCTTTTGTATATTATCAATTTTCTCTCAAATTAATTAAGTAAATTAGCAAATTTTGTTATATATCTAGTAAAATTGCATGCTGTTCGGGCTATGAACATTTTATATTTAGTTTTTTTTTCTTTTCTTTCTAATGGCAATGCGATATCCATTTAGAAAGCTATACACTGGCTACTTCGTGAGCTTTTCATGTTCATTTTATCTTTTTGATGGTTGTTCATCTATTCAATCTATACAGTGGTCAAGTCATGAGTATAAAAATTATTCTTAATACAAGAAAGAAAAGTTCAATTTCATCATTGTCAAGTAAGTGCTTAAGAAAACTTCTCACCTGTTTCATAATTGATGAATCAAAAATTTAGGAATTGTTATCTTTTTTTATTGTTTTTTCTATATCAAAATAGACAAATAAGTATTTGCTAAAAAATAATGTCTAAGACACCAACTCTAAGACTAATTCACATATGCACTGTTTTTAAAAATTCTATCTAATAAGATTATTATCATTGACGAGTATTAATTTTCTACTAATATATTTCATCAATTGGGGCTACCTTTCTGAAAAATCTTGACTAATCTAAAAATAAAGGAAAATTAATATATTCAGTTTATTTTTTGGATGCAAACAAGCACGTGACAAGACATATGACATTGTATTTAGGGAGCTATTTGCATATTAAGTAAGTTCTCTACTTATACTTAACTATTTTTTTTGAGCAAATTCAAATGCACTTAAGTAATTTGTTTCAAAAAATCTATAAATAAATATTGACACGAATAGTTAGCCAACAGTACTACGGGTGCTCAAAAAAAAAAAAAAGGGTAACAATGGCAATGAAGGGGGACGGGCACTTAAGGTTGGCCAAAACTTGCCACAGTGGGTGCTAGCCAACATTAAGGGGAAAAAAATAGAATGTGTGCAAACTAGTTAATAAATCACAACTCTTTTGATCTTGTTTTCCGTTTTATATTACATTACAATTACAATAAAACTAAAAGAAAACAGAAAATCACCATAGTATTTTCACTATTCATTAACGGTTCACGTTTTTTTCTTCTTCAATTGTTGTAGGTAGGACTCTTTTTGGTTTTTAATTAACTTTATTTTTATTTTGGTCCCTATTTTGTGATCTTTTTTTATTTTGATCATTAAAATTTTATTATATTTAATTTTTATCCCTATAATAAATATTAAAATTTTATTATATTTGATTTTTGTCCCAATAATAAATATTTTTTCTTGGCTTTTAGTAAAAATTTATGTTCTTTTTTTGTTCCAATTTTATGATGTATTTTTATTTTAGTCATTAAAATTTTATTATATTTGATTTTGTATCCTCACTCGTACTAAAATTAAATATAGTTGACTATCTTAAGCTTTTTTGTTTTTAGTGAAACTTTTCTTTCTATTATAATTCTGGTTTTGTGATTTTTTCTTTATTTTGGCCATTAAATTTAGTAGAATTTTATTTTTGTTTGAGTCCTTGTTTTGTAATTGTTTTTTTTATTTTGATCTTAAATTTTTATTATATTTGATTCTTTTCCCTACAATGAACTATATTTTACTTTTAGTAAAGCTTTTGGTTATGTTTTGGTTTTTATTTTGTTATCTTTCTTTTATTTTGATTATATTTGATTGTTATTTTTTCTACACCAAAATTAGATACGAGTTTCACTATTATAAGTTTTTTTTTTTGGCTTTTAGTAAAAAACATTTTTTGTTTTGATTCTTATTTTGTGATTTTTTTTTTATCATTAAAATTCTATCATTTTTTACTTTTGTTCCTGCCTTACGTATAATATATATTTTTTAGTCTTATTGTTTATAAGATTTTTTTTTAGTGAAATTTTTTTATTTATTTGGATCATTCTTTTATGATCTTTACTTTGTTTTGATCATTTAATCTTTATCGTGTGTAATTGTATCTCTATTTTTTTTGTCAAATTCTCGATTTGACAAAGTTTTTTTTGTCTTTTTGTTTTGGGTGATCTCTCTATCGCATTAACAAATTACGGATTAAGAATATATAGAAAAAATTAATCATCTAAAATTCAAAAAACTACCACATCATTATTTTAATTACCGAGTTATTGTCCATATTTTTAATAAAATAGATGTTTCTATCAAATAATATCCAATTGAAAACATTATATTACTCAACTTTGTAGATTTTTTGTTTAGCTAACCTTACGGCAAAATATGAGATATATGTTTTGGTTTTTTTTTTTTTTGAATTTTTTTCGTGCGATCCTTTTAAATAATTATTTTTAAATTTTATATTTTATATGAATGAACACATAAGAATATTGTATAACTCATCCCGTGACAACGCACATGGTATATGCTAGTAATCTTACTAATCCAAAAGGCTGATTTAGAGATCCATAATTTGGTGATGATTGAAACATGTGAAAGACTATTTTTTAAATCAAAATTCACTTTGAAAACTCATTTTAACTCTTTTTGTGATTCGGACATAATAATAAAAAAACAATTATTGCATTATTTGTTGAACAAAGAGGCTCATTGTAAGCCGATAAATAGTTACTATTTGTTATAAGACTCACAAAAAGATTATTGCATGATGTATTTGTTTTTTATGTTTAAAAAGGCTCACGGAAAGTTTACAAAAATCATTATTAGGTTATTTTTTCTAACTTTATTTTTCTCTATCTCACCATACATAATTATATAACACCCTTATTAGCAAGACTATCTATGCAAATGGCTAAATATATATGCTCAACTTTTTCTAAAATTAATTTTTTATTTATTTTGGTATGAGTCTAAACTATATAAAAAATAGATTAGATCGAAAATAAATCTTGCTCAACACATGGCTTTAAGTCATAAGGATAAACTCTACTATTTTAATAAAACTAGTATCTATGTCTTATTTTTAAAATACATAAGGAAGATTGACCTGGTGGACTTAGGACCAGGATTGCTAAAAAAGACTTAATTGTTACTTTTTTATTATTAAGACTTTTATTATCCATATGCCTATCAATAGATTTGCTCTTTGTTATTGGTTTTATGCATTTTGACTAATCTATCAATCAATCTTTTGATCAGTTTCTAAAACCCTCCTCACTTGTCTTTTAAATACAAGTTCAAAATCATTCTAATACACATTGGATACAGGATTATGCATGATAAACTCTACTTGTCAGGTGCTTAGATGCCTAGATTTTTTTTTGTTTTTAAAGCATTCCACATTTTTTATGTGGAGTCCAACACATGATATTACTCTGGAATGGTCCCCTATCACGTAAAAGTAGGATAAAGATAATCTTTTTTTTTTTATGAGCTCAAGTACAATTTAATCTCGTGGTCGCAAGGTTTTGTACTACCTGAACACCATATGTTATGGGATATTGCCTTCCCAATCGTAGCTATACTTGCCCCTCCCTAGAATAACAGATGTCTACATTCCACCGAACGAGAAACTCTGTGGCCTTCCTAGAATCTTGAGAAGTTTTGAGGTTGATCTTGATTCCACATGGCATGCATTCGATGCAATTCCTAGCATGTGGCAAAGATCTAGTGAAGACTGTCCAGTCGTGTAGAAATTTCTCACCATGTTGTCATTGCTAGTGCTGATATATGTATGAAAGCAAACAAGGGCTTGCTATGTTTCTCTGTATCTAGCAAGGTGAAAGTGATAAATTGGGATCAATCAATGTCCTCGTGAACTTGCATTGTGTGGCTTGTCTTACTCTATGTCTATTTATAGGAGTACTTCCTACTATATAGGACTTTAGGGCATCTAATTAACTAATCCACTGCAGTTCTTCCTCTATAGTAGTTGTTCATGAATATGTCTTAATCAGCTCGAATGATTTGTGGCAAACATGATGCCACCTTATTGTACAAATTAATATAATAGCCAGACATCTTTTGCAATAGTGAAGGGGTTAAAAAACATTGTACGAACAAAACAGTCAAATCCCTTTTGTAATAGTGAGAAAGTTGAAAAAATTCCAACATATCTCATGATCTAATAGCTTTAGGAAACTGATGACGGGGGACATTTTATGAATGTTTCATGTCTTTAATTTGTTTCAAATTCTTGTTTATAAGATATTATTACTTATAATGTAATTAAAATATTATTTTGGTAGTATCAAGAACATTGGTTCAATTAGTGGAACCGTTGGATAGTTTGTAATATGATATATGTGTATTTGTTAAATAAGAAGGATATAGAAGAATAACAAGTGCAGGCTCCACGCATTCATTATAGTTATTTATTTATTTAATTTGACCCACCGATCCAATCAATCAAATTTGATCAGATCTATCCAATAGTTGATATCAATCTAAAATGGTTTAATGACTAAGTTATTTCTTTTTTTATTGAACCGATCTAATATGATTTTAACAATACTAATAACGTCAATTGAACTTTTGAAAATAAAAATAGAAAAAATAAAAGAAAAGATGAAATAGCTCGGATAAACAACGATGAGTGTCACCAATCTCCTCTTAGACATATATTTGCTTTGTTAACGCTATTGATAAGTTGTTAGTCTAATGATGTATAAATTGAACTTAGATAAATTTTTTATCAATATATAAGATTTAAATTATAATATCATATTGATTAAAAGATATTAAAGTTTATCATTTTTATTTCAAATAAAATTAGTTATATAAATACCGGACAGGCGTCAGCCTTATATGCGGTATTACGATTTTATAGAAACCTACCTAACGTGAGATGAAAATTCTTGGATAAAAAATAAATCACAAACGCTAATGAGGGATAGCTGAAGGATCTGGACCTATAATCAAAGAGAATTACATATACACAGAGAACAGTCGATGTCGATATTATTGCTGGACCCATATTTCTAGGCATGATTACTAAATATCATTAGGGATTAGCATAAACACCTACCACGATATCCTAACAAACAATAATCATACAGAGCTAAGAACTTTTATTTTTATTAAAATTTTCGTCCCTCAAAACTAAATTTCTAGTTCTGCAACCAGAGAATTTGCTTTTTTTTTTTTTTTTTTCCCCTTTAACACTCAAGGTTCCGTAGATAGAGGTCTCTTGTGCCGACCATGCATGTATTATTGTTCCTGTATCGTTTCTCTTTCTATGTAGATAATTGTTAAAGACTAATATAAATTATATTTTGAAATCTCACCTAAAAATAAGATTTCAAAATATAATTTATATAAATAAAATTTTAAAATATAATTTATATTAATCACTAACACTAACCACCCTCAGTCACAGACCTTTTGCAGTAATAAAAGCGAATTGCAATGCTGCAATATTCAATAGAGCACATCTACGGCATACATTTCATTGTTTGAGATTGAATCTCCAGGAGATGCATTTTGAAGTTGCCCCTTAAGCTCAATCAGACCTGAACCGGCCCATCAAGTAATTTTGCATGGAAATAAGTTCAGCTGAGCTAATAAGGAAACCCATCCCATTAATTCCTTGAACTTGTAACCTGGCCCAGAAGAGTTTGGCCCAGCTAGCCCATCAATTCTTTGGACTTGTAAATTAGCTTAAAAGGATCCCACAGTTTAGCTAGCTTCCTTTCTCTTATACCATAGTGACAATCTTTTTTCTTTTTCTTTCTGCCTTTGATTTGGTAACATTCTAGGAAAGGAACTATTAGCATAAGATTATTTTATAAGAATTTGATTGAACTATTAGGTTATACCTTAATATATACTTAAAATCAATGGAGTATGCGAATTGATAGCTATATATGGCAGTTTACAATCCAAAATGATGACCTTATCAAACAGGAGCCCAAGCCGCATTGTAACAGATCATGAACTATAATAAGAAAGTGGAAGAGAAGAATAAAATGGCTGTATTGCAACAAATTAGATGGAAGCTACAAGATATTTAGAAAGAAAGAACAAGATGAACAATGATAGCTAAAAGACCTACATCTCACTAACAATAGCCTCTACCAACAATTTCCTTGAATTCATCATCAACCCAGGACTCAACCTGAACATAAGTGTACAAAACTCCATCTCATTCAAAGCACCATCCCCATCTAAATCACCTTCTCTCAACATACACCTTACTTCATCATCACTCATGTCTTGCAATCCAAGCAATTCTGAATTCCTCTTCAAGCTCTCAAATGTGATCAAACCCTTGTCTTCATCCACCAACAATTGAAACCCGCTGTACAACTCATTCATAAACCCTTCAGCTCCTAACTTCTCCACCATGGCAGGAAAGAAATCCTCAAATACAATCCCATTTCGCGACGCCATTCGCAACCAATTAATTTGTGTATGAATCAAGTATAAGACGGAGAAATTATAGTAAAGTTGTTACAATGGAAATTAATGTGACTGGATAAGGAAATGTGACGGGGTAAGGGTCCATATTTATAGCTTGTAAAGAGAATATGAAGGCTTAGGAGGAAAGGAAAAGAGGTATTCGAGGAAAGATCAGTGAAAGGATTTCAATGACAACGAAGGTACAGATAATAGAGGTTAGTTGTGAAGGAAGGTTGTTATTGCCGGCTTTTTGCTGCGTATGATCCGTGGCCATTTCTTATATGAGTTTGTTCTCCTTCCTCGAAGTTGCATGGGAAGGTCCCAACTTTAATTTTTTGGTCATGGGCATTTTCCTTGCCAAAAGTTGAGCTTGTTACGTTTTAGACGGCATTATTTACAAAAACGCCACGCAATTAATATTGTACACTTACATATCTGAAAAAACGATGATGAATTAATTATAAAACAGTGTTTTTTTGACCCACCGGCATTGGAAACCTTAAAAAATTGAAAGGGTTTCTTTTGCTAAACAACAGAGGTTGTAGACAAGTATGAAACGATGAATTTTGTTGCCTTGTCGGTCTAAAGCCGATTTTTAGCAATCTAGCTATGATTATCTACTCTAAGCTAATACATTGATTACAGGGTCCACAAGACAAGATTGGGCGCTGGTTGGTGGAGTGACATTATCTTTCTGCAATTGCATCCATATTATATTTTGGCATCATGTCGGTTGGGGATAGCTTCCTTTTCTTTTTCCTTTTGTTTTAGAGGAACTTGTTCTAATGGATATGGCAAACATGAGGAAAAGTTTGTCTAATAAAAAAATATAATGCATAAAAACTTTATTAATTGATGTAGCAACCGTGATGAACGGTATTATATCAATATTTTACTGGTTATGTAAATGATCAGGTAAATGTTTGTGTTAATAAGATATTTCGATATATATATTTTTTCAAGTCTTGTTCTTTAAATATAATTGACTTCGTCATGGCATCGCTTTTTGCGGTACTCATAGCCTTCTTCACCTAAAGGACTCCTAAATCAATAGTAAACAATTTAATTTAAATATTTGTGTTTGGTAATGCGATACAAATATATTTGTAAAATGTAATGAATTGAAAAAACATTAATTTTTGTTTTTTCCTTATGTGTTTTATAATCTTCTTGATATCAATAAATCAAAATTATCTAAAATTATTTTAAAAAAAATCAGTTCAAATACATTTTGAAAAACACTTTCAAACACAACCTTAGACGGCAAAATTTTTTTATTATTAATTTATATATTAATTATGGAAATTATATCTCTCATTTAGACGATATTAAACAATATTAAATTAATCTCTATTTAAAGTTACCTATAAACGATAAAGATGGGAGACGTAAAACATGATAATCTTTGTCATTATATAAATTAATAAAAAATTGGTTTATGTATTAGAAAAAAAGATTACTATCGACTTCCATTATAGATGATGAGATAAATCATCTTGTGCATATATGTTGAGGGATACTCTTCCTCGTAAGCAGGAGGAAAAAAAAGAAGGAAACATTTAAAAATTTGTTCGTTACATTAGGACAATAACATGAAAATTTTAAAAGAAATAATATGGCAATTGAGCCCACCGAACAATTTCTCCTCACCCAATTGGTCATGCCATGAAAGACCATGACCAATCACTGGTTCATTCCACTTTTTCTGGTCTCTAATTGCACGGTTTCCATGTCGAGTATTAATTTTTGGCCATTTGCACTTTCGAAAATTTAAATTCCCACCCAAATCTTTCATTTTCTGTCAACATTATGTGAAAACGATCAATTGATAGTAAATGTTTAAATATCTATATGGTTATGACTTGTGATTGGCAAGCTTCAAATATTTTGTGCAGACAATATGTGATTTAGAAAAACCGAAGATTGAAGTAGTTTTCTATAAATTCCAAAAGAGGAAAGACGTGAACAAGTGAACCTGACATGCAGTGGACTTGGTAGAATTTTTAGCAGCTTGTAGAAGGAAATGCCAAGCAACAAGAGCAATGCCAAAAAAGGGCGTTACTTCTCTGAAGTTGGGTTTTGGACCCTCTACATATCTATAAGCTGCTTGTTGAAGGAATTGCCAGCAAGGGTGTGACAACAATTCCAAAATGCACGTTGCTTCGATGAAGATGAGTTTGATATCTTTTTTACAGTTCATGCAGCGAGCCAGTGACAGGTACTTTGTTAGAATCTGGCGTGGGACAGGGACCTACTGGTGGAGGCTGGAAACGAATACGGGCTTATACTATGTAGATTAAAAAAAAAAAAAAGTCCAATTAAACATGAGTAATTATAAATTAATCCTTCTATTTTTTGAGAAATAAATTAAACGGATCTTACTTTTAAAACTAAATATTTAGTCTCTATTTTTAAATTTTCTTGTAACTTAATCATTTTTATTTTTTTCAATTTATTTTAATTTTTGGTTTTAAGAAATAGAAAAAAAAGTAGAAAATATGAAATGATTGATGAAAACGAGATGACAGCTTTTGAAATAAAAAATATTAAATTAAATACGATCAATACTAATTAAATAATCATTTAATTGGTTTTTGAAGCAAGAAAGATTAATTAATTATTTATCATAAATAGAAGGACTAATTTATAATTTATTCATTAAACATTAGAAGAGCTCCAAACCCTAATGGAATTATTTGAATTTTTTTCTTTAATCACATTAATTTTCAGTGTATCTAGGAAAATAAAAATTTCTAAATATTTATTTGAAAGTTTAAATCTAAGAAATTAAAAGAAGGACCAAACCTCCTTTTATATATATAACCAACTAGCCTACTTTTTGAGTTATTTAGAATGTTTATACTCCAATGACAATATCTTGTGTCAAGTTTGATGACGATGGTCATAATGCTTTTTTAGTCCATTTGCTCACAACTTCTAAAAGCATTGCGAGTTTGTTTTAAATATATTTGTAGTTACCATGTAACATCTACAACCTAACGAGAGCCGAGAGTGCTACCGTACTCTTTCACATCCGAGAGTATAAGACAACGCACTATGTTCTCTATCCTAAATCTCTATCATATTACACAACAAAATTTTTTTATTCGGTTTAAAGTTCAAGGTTTCTTAAATTTGACATTTAGTGCTAACAAAATTTTAGCAACCTAAACAGATTTATAAACATTTTATAACATTTCATTTTCATTATTGGATTAAAACTAGCAAGTGACAACAAGCCTAAAACCGTTCATATTCCAACTAGCTTGTTACCATTTTTATAACTAAAACAATTCATCAACATATCCAAGCTAACATCATTTCTTATAATCCTCTAATCTAATAGGTATGTATATATTAACATACAAAAATAACTATAAGATCAACCATTGCAACTCAAAATGGCCGAATCTAGGCATTACCCACAAATGGCCAAACCTAACAATGGTTAGCCTTCAAACTTTAAACTTAGACTTGTAGTATATGATTTGGCAAACTCGTATCTCATGGCTAGCATCTTCAATGCATTTACTTATCCTCAAGCATTTCTTTATTCACCTATACCATAAGACAAAACAGTGAGCTAAGCTCAATAAATGTAACCATGTATGAAATGCAATTAAAATCGTTATTTTTATGCTCAAAATTCTTTTTTATCTTTTGAGCATATCGTACCGAATGTATATAAATTCAACCATTTTTTAAAACGATCATCATGAAAATTCATAAAAGCTCTAAGCATGTTCGATTCAATGAACCTTACAAATGATTGATCATTCCCCTTGTGTCTTTTAAACATGCCTAGCCATGATTTGTGTCCTCATAAAACCATGTACATGTCATTTCTTGAATGTTTGAAATCATGTCATAAAACATTTTATGGTGTGAATACAATTAGAATGCATAATCAAACATATACATGAATATAAACCATATGTCATCAAATCATTCATGAACACAATCAACATGACATGACAAGGATGAAACATCAAGCCTTAAAATAACATGAACTTATCCTAAACAATAACATGTTCTCTATCCTAAATCTCTATCATTTCCTAGGCCGAAGCCATCACAAGAGATAATTATAAGTTTCTTTGTTAAGCCTACCTAGATTGAACCATCCTCCATGCAAACAAATTAAGCTAAATTTTAATTAGTATAACTATGCATAAATGCAATAAAAACCAAAATTTTTTATGCTTGAAATTATTTTTTGTCTTTCGAGCATACCTGCTCGAATGTATATAAATCTAGCACTCTTTTAAAACCATCATCATGAAAATTCATAAAAGCTCTAAGTACGTTCAATTCAATGAACCTCACAAAAGGGTTGATCATTCCCCTTTGTCCCTTTTGAACATGCCTAGCCATGATCCGTATCTTCATAAAACCATATACATGTCTTTTTTTGAATGCTTGAAATCATGATGTAAAATATTTCATAGTGTAAATGCAATTAAAATGCGATATCAAGAGTAAATATGAACATGAATCATATGGCATTAAGCCATTTTTGGATATATTCCACATGACATGACAAGGTAGAATATCCTCAAGCCCATCATCCATATTATTCAACTAAAGATATCACATTTAGCAAAACTATATATTCATCAATGACTATCGCATGTCATGACATAATAATTTTCATCAATGAAAACCACATGTTCATCAATGAAAATCACATGTCATGACTTGGCTCTTTCGTCAATGTGAATGTAATGTCATGGCTTGAAACTTTTTGTCAACGAAAAGCTCATGCCATTTTCGTCAACAAAACTCTCTTGCCATGGCTTGACACTTTTCGTCAACAAAAATCTTATGCCATGACTTGGCACTTATTATGTTTTATGTTTATTACTATAATCTATGCTCATATTCATGTTCAAGATATAAACTAGGAATGTAGAGTAGTTGTGCTTAAAAGTCGGAGAATTCTAACATGATTAACTTAGACCTTCTAGGCTTCTTGTAGGTCTTTCGAAGCC